TTCATATTTTTCCATTCCACACTTTTTGCTCAGTTCTTCTTTATTTCTTATTTTCTCAAAGTACCTCCTCCGGAAAACTATTAATATATTATGCGGCTGCGCGAAACACGCTAATGAGCCGAGCATGTCATGAAATGGAATGATTACCACCTAATCATCTTAAGACGGTACCGCTCAGCAGAAAAGCAAAAGCAAAAAATGTTGGTGTAGTCAGGTTTATCGTTAGTAAGAAGCAGTGAATTGCATATCATTTTTCCTCTCACTCATCGTGAATCTGCTTTTTTTTCGCGCCGGCTAGTTTCGAATAAAACCCTTGAAATTATCAAGGTTTATTTCCTGCACCCTTACTGCTCATGACGATAATGATGAAGATTCTGTGCCGGGTTGAGGCTTCTACGCCCAGCAACAAGCGTTATTACCTGAAATTTCAACCCGATACTTGGAGCGGAAGCGAGGGCGAAGATGCGTTGGCATATATGGTACTGGCAAGAAGAAAGCCAAAGAAGAAACGCTGGTAGCGATGATAGGAGCGAAAAATAAAAATTTTTTTTTTCGTATTACTTTGTTTCAAGCTTGGCGCATGCCATTGGACGAAGCCCGAAGAGGACCGAAGCTTATTCCTTCCTGGTCGACGCCTGGCTCATTTTTAAGGATGATTTTAGTACGAAAAATGACTACCGTGTGCTGCAGGCATGAATGCCTAACATTTTTTTCGAGAAGTGGAATTTTCGGCAAAACGGTGCCTTTCAGCAGAAAAGCAAAAGAGGTGAATATTGGCGAAATCAGGTTTATCGTTAGTAAGAAGCACTGCATGTCGGCGTAATGAGCCCTGAGAAATGCATCGATTGGAAAAGAGGATACTCTTTTGGAATGCTACTTTTAATCAGTAGAATGATTGCTGGTATTTTCAGAAGCCCCAGCCAGGATTGGGCAAACCTCTGTCGATTCAGGATTTTGCTGTCATTGATGCAACACTGGATCGTGCTGCAAATCTGCAGTGTATTTGGTGCGGAATGTTTATGAGTTCCGATACAATGGCTATGCATTTTTCCGAGGTTCATCCAGATGATGTAGAAGTACCAAAATGTAACCTCTGTTTACAGGTACCAATTTTTTATTATTTTAGTATTCTGTTGGAAAGCCGGTCGTTTGTAAAAAATTTTCATGATTTTTTCTCTCCTGTATTTTTTTGGCTGCCAGAAAATTATGCCACTGTTTTAAATTCTTCAAGAAATGAAAACGGATATTTTACTTGCTGAATTTTTTTTTGGCCTTTTAACCAGCATTAAATTAAACGGCCGCCTGCTGTAGTGGCATTCAGTCGTCCCAAATTAGCATCATCTGTAGTACTTTCTTCGATGTTAATATACATAAATTGATATGGTTTTTCATTGGTTTTTTAGGAGCTTGTAATAAATGCACGTCTTCAAGAAAAATTTGCCGATGAATTTGACGTTTCGATGCCCGATGAGCATCATTTTAAATGTGGCAAATATGGTACCATGCATACATCGGAAGCTCGTTTACATGCAGGTCATAATAAGGGCTTTTCACGCTTACTGCTAAAAGTTTACAGCAGTTTTAATTATTTCAAAAATTTTGATGATTTTACTGCTGCTTGAAAAATGCTGCTCTTTTTTTAGCCATTGAGAAGCGTATGAAAATGCGTGAAGGAGATGTTGAAGACGATTTTGAAGATGAGGATGTGGAAAAGAATGAAGTCAGTTTTGTGAATAGCCGAATGACATTTGGTAAGGGGTTGCTGAATTTTGTCAAGACTAGCTGATGTATATGCACAAAATTCCTGGAATATTTGGATCAGTTATAATTCGAAGTTTCGTTCTCTAGCCGTGCAACGGGCAGTTTTGACCGATGGTCACTCAGCTGGTAATTACGATGTTAAAAGTAAAAAAAAAAATTTTAGAAGAGCCCGAGGGGTTTTAGGTATATCTGTCGTGGTTTTGCTGTTGTTCTCGGCCTTTTTTTTGTTTATTTCGTCTTGAATCCTGTTCACTTTTATACATTGTTTTAGGTCGTCGAAGCAAGCCGAAACGACAGTTCATAATGCCAGCACTTAGGCAGGCCGTACCAACGCATAGCCGCTACTTGGAGGCATTGAGCGATTGCCATTGGCGATGTAAATTATGCAAAGGAGATATCTTAGCTGCTGTGATTAGTGCTGGTGCCATAAGACACTTTCGTGCCGAGCATCCACATCATCTACATGACATGCAATATGAACTGTGCAAGGTGCTCACTTGAATTCTCACTTATACAAGTTTTGATTCTTTCTAC